GAACAAGTCGCACAAAATAGAAATTCATTATTTAAACGCTGGAAATAAGAAAGGAAACCCGGGCCTAAAGCCCTCAGTTTAGAACCATAAATTAGTAATGCAGCACACATAATCAATCAGCTTTCCACCAGAGCATAGGTGTCATATATCAGAGTTAGTGACAGAGGAGACCAGTATTCTGATAAATATTCATGTACGTCATCAGGTCAAAAACAGGCCAGAGGCCTTCTATACAGACTCATATCAAAGTCTCAACAAGTGTTGCAACCCATACCTGTGACTAAACTTCATTCCATCATTAATATTGAAATATTTAAAGACAAATAAGTGGTAAAATGACACGGTTGCACAGTGAAGCATGAGAAATGCACACTGAAATAATTCAACCCATAAATAATGGAGAAAAACTTTTAAACTGTATAAATCATTATAGGACTTAACATTGACGACACTTTATTTGACCTCTCAAAGATGTTTATTAACCTCACCACAAATAATTACATATAAATGAACATTAATGTAAAAAAAAAAGTAAAAATAAAAAGTAAATATTAACTTTTCCTTGGCTTAGCCCCTTATTTATCAGAGGTCACCACAGTGGAATGAACCGTCAACTATTTCAGCATACGTTTTACACAACAGATGCCCTTCCAGCTGCTACCCAGCACTTAGAATCACCCATACACTCTCACATCCACACACCACCAATTTAGTTGATCCAATAGAGTGGAGGAACTATGACGCCAATTTGTATGCAAAAACCCGGAAGCGAGTTAGCATTTTAGCAGTTCCGGTTCCCTCGTCCCAAAGTCAATGGGTTTTTTTCAATAGGGTTTCAGTAAAATCGCTTAAATAAGGTTTGTGGCTAACACAAACTCAAGATACTTTCACGTTTTGTTCTATGACATAAAACACATCACACACTCTTGAATTTTTAAATTGGTTATGCTTCTTCAAAAAGACGGTTGCTATCAAGTTGCTAAATGGGACTACAGGCGGTGTCGGGGACATTATACGTCATCGTGCTGACATGGTCTGGCGCACAGCTCGCTTGTGTTGGGCATTTGGATTTGTCTGTTATTTAGGTATTTTCATGAATAGTATTTTATAGTTTGTAGTATTATTCTAATTGGGAATTCAGATTGTGTGTAGATAATTCCTTCACTTGAAAAGGCTGTTGAGACAGATTCATTTGTTGATCATTTATTTTAATAAACAATATTATGAAGATACTGCTTACTGCTGCAGCCTGTCCCTTTCCTGCTCCCAGTAATGCAAACGTATGAATAGATGTGTAAAAATACATGCATGTTAACTGTCATTTTCACGTGATCTAGTGATTTTTCATCTTTTTTTCTTCAGCTGAACACATTTAACTCGGTCTTAACTGCCATATTTACACTCCTCCATAAAATGTATATCATATGTGACCGTATGGGCTGCTTTTCACTGTTCTTTGTGACAAAAAAACGAATATTGAATGTTGCTCTGTGTCCATGATGGAACTTGCAGGTATTTGATAGACTTGTCCCTCATGCCTCATTTCTGTCGTCTGTTAAGATAAGCGGGCTGTGTGCACGTGAGCGATACACTTTTTTTAAATATGTCTGATGATAATGTAGGCAGATTTATACACACAGTTTTAAAACTTTTAGAACAATCATGAAGCAAAACATATATTTCCCACATAAAAAAACGATCCAAAAGGCACATAGGTCTATGTGTTTTTGCGTATTTATTTGTTTATAATATATACCGTGGATTATAATATAATAAACAGAGAGGTCAACTCTTTGTCACATACAATATTTCTAAAAATAAGCTTGATAAGTTGTCTGTAGCAGGGTGGGGCTGACGTCACAGACGAGCGCCCCGATGGCTCTGTAGTCCATTTATAGCCTAATGTTAGCTTTTCAGTATTTGCGTTTGGATTTACGATCAAAAAGTGCTCAAAGTTGTATTTTCGTGTGAGGATTTTCCGGCTGGACAAAACGTGTAAGTGTAATGAACAGTGTTTGAACACAGAGCTTATTATTTGCAATCTTCAAAAAGCCTATGGGAAAATCCCATAGGGATTTTTACGAGGGAACCAGTTTTATGCTACAGTAGCAGCCGATTAGCCTACAAAGTGAAGTCATAGTTCCTCCACTCTATTTACCTAAAGCACGTCTTTGGACTGTGGGGGAAACCGGAGCACTCGCAGGAAACCAATGTTAACGCAAGGAGAACATGCAAAATCTACTCAGAAATGCTAACTGACTCGAGCTTCTTGTTGTGAGACGACTTTTGATTTAGTGGTTAATTCGTATGAATTCGTAAAATCTAATCATACAATTAAGTACAATTTGCTCATCACAAAATGGCGGTTGGGGTTAGGTGTGGGGTTGGGTGCCACGCCTCCTTTTTAAAAAACATACATTTTCACACGACTGAACTTGAATTCGTAACAATTAGCCACTAAACTGACTAAACGTAAAATACTTACTTTTACTTGTGAGATCAGTCTGGTGCCACCCAAATATAAATATAGATAATTATATATAAACATATCTCAAAACACGTTTTTTGACCCACAACCTTAAATTGTAATAAATAAGCTTTTGGATTTTGGATTCCAGTGAAGTTTCACAAAGCCTGAATTACCAATAGTAAAAACTATTAGCTTGTCCAATGTAAAGATCATGCGTCAAATAAAAATATATCATTATCATTATAAACTAAATCCAGGACGTCATGGTGGTGCAGTGGGTAGCACGATCGCCTAACAGCAAGAAAGTTGCTGGTTCGGGTCAGTGTGGAGTTTGCATGTTCTCTCCGGGTTTCCTCAGGGTGCTCCTGTTTCCCCCACAGTCCAAAGACATGCGGAATAGGTGAATTGGATGAGCTAATTTGTTCGTAGTGTATGCGTTTGAATGAGTGTGTATAGATGGTTCCCAGTAATGGGTTGAAACTAGAAGAGCATCTGCTCAGTTGGCATTTCAGTGTAGAGCTTGCATGTTCTTCCATTGTATGCATGGGTTTCCTCCGGGTGCTCCGTTTTCCCCCACAGACATGCGGTATAGGTGAACTGAATAGACTAAATTGGCCATAGTGTACTGTATGTGTGTGAATGAGTGTGTATGTTTTCCAGTACTGGGTTGCAGCTGGAAGAGCATTCACTGTGAAAAACATATTGGCAGGTTAATTCCATTGTGGCAACCCTCATGAATAAAGCCGAAGGAAAATTAATGAAATATCACTAAAATAATATGCTGAATACACTATTAGTTGCATTTTTAATTATAAGTGTAAAAAGGCCTTGCATCCTGACTTAGACCTTGTAAGATGTTGTTCATTAGTGATCTGAAGACCTGCTACTGTAGCAATGCTGATAATTCTTTGCTCTACACTTACTAAAATGACTTTCTGTACATGTATAATACTATTATAATTCCATGTCTTCTTGCACAGGTAAATAGTAAAAGAGCTATATTACAGACGTTAAGAGAAGGATTGCATATTAAAGAATTATATAGTTACCATCATGGGATCAACAACTGAACCCTAATACTGCTCCAGAACTTTCTCTATACGTAAGCTGTAGTCATGGAACACTTACTGCAGCTCCTCAATGTCAAGGTCATGTGCTTGCCTGCCAGAAAACTCATACTGATAAAAGACAAGTCACTCTGCATAAGACATCTGCCAAGTTAATAATTGAAAGTACAAAACGGCAGGTGCCAAACGCATCTTGAAACCCCATTAAACACGCACACACAAACACAAACATATCAGTGTGGAGACCCACATGTAACACTAATCACATTAGCACATATGGCACTGCATATAAACCCCTAACTAACACCTAGGGAACCACATATTACTGTGGACTGTGCTCTCAAACCAGGCTAGCGAAAACAGGCAGGAAAGTGTAATGACTGTGACATATTTACATAACCAGCATGTGAAAAGACACAATAGAAATACATCCAGGATTTTAACAATGAGTCATTCCCACCGCACACACATTTCTTATAAAGGATCATGCGGTCATGGAGAACAAGTAATGACCTTGTAGATCTGCTGTTTGCACAAGTACGTCCATTTTCAGTATAGAACAAAAGGGGAGTGGAGAGGAATAACGAGTAAAAACTGTTGAAGCTCGTTTGTGGCCAAAACACGAGTGCAGTCCAGAAAGGCTGTGTGGCTTCTCCTTGATGAAATAATGGAGGAGGTCAAGGATACTTTGTAGACTGCAGAACAAGTGTCATAGCGGTGGGAGTGATTACACCATTGTAATGCTTGCTCTAGAGGTGTCTATAAGAGAGCTGAAATTGCCCATAAATGAATAATTTGAATGCTTAAAGAAAAATTCCTGGCTTAATCCAGTTTGCCATGTATTAAATGCAAATCATTCATTTAAATGAACTACATTACACCACATTACTTTATTAGCAGCGCTGGGTAATATTTGATTGCATGCAATCTAGATTACAAGACTACAAATTTCTCACTAAATTATTCATAATTTATAGATCTCTTTGTTGTCTCTGAATGTCATACAATGTCAGACATCTCTGGTTGCTCCTGTCAAGCACCCTGGCGATGTAAAAAGAACAAAATATTTTAAACCTGAAAAAGGTTGACAATGTCATTGTTATATTTTCTTATATATTATTGACTACAGTTTTATGCAAAGGTTTGAGCACCCCTCTGTGGCTGCATACTTTCTTTATAAGAGAAGATTGCAGCGAAATGCCGTTCGGTTTGTAGAGAAAGTTAGATGATCTTGTTTTTCAGACAGAAATCCATAGTGTAGCAGTATTAAAATGTGTAAAATTAAATTAAAGCTAAAAAATAGTTTATGCTAAAGCTTGGGTACCTTCTCTTTTGTGCGTTTCAAAACCTGTAGTCGTTTACTGCTGATTGATTACAACAAAAAAATTGATTTATATATATAACTTCACAATCCTTACAGAGGTGCAGCCAATCCTGAAAAAAGATATTTAAGATAGCTGATTGCTTGTTGTGCTTCTCTTTATTGTGAACCTGAAAGTAGCAACATGGGAACCTCAAAAGAACTTCCTAATCACCTAAAAACTAGGAAAATCACCAACATGAATTAGAAGGATGCAAAAAGCTATCAGAAAGGTTTCAAGTCTCTATCTCCACAGTCAGAAATACAGTAGGAAAATGGAAGGCCACCGGAACAGATCTTGTGAAGGAAAGATGTGCTAGACCAAGACAATTATCTAAAAGCAAAAGTGAAGAACGGTTAGAATAATCACAGACAAACCACAGACCACCTCCAAAGAGCTCCAAGAACATCTTGCTGCTGATAATGTCACTGTCCATGGTACACTTTTCAAAAATCAAATATGAAGGAGGGTCTATCATGCTGTGGGGATGTGTGGCAGGCACAGGTACCGGAAACCTTGTCAGAGTTGAAGGTTGCATGGATTCCACCCAGTATCAGCAGATTCCTAAGAGCAATATTCAAGAATCAGTCAAAAGACTGAAGTTATGCCAGGGTTGGATGTTTCAGCAGGACAATGACCCTAAGCACAGTACCAAGGAATTCATGGTCAGACACCATACAATGTCCTAGAATGGCCATGCCATTCTCCAGACTTGAACATCATCGAAAATCTATGGATTGATTTGAAAAGGATTCTTCGCCCTCGGCACGCGTAAAACTTAAACTGGAGAATTTTTTAAGGAATAATGGTTCAAAATATCCTTATCCTTATCCTTGGCTATAAGCTTCTACAGGCTGTTATTTCAAGAAAAGGTGGCTGTACAAAAGATTGATGTCATTATTTTGTTGGGTTGTCCGAATTTTTTGCACCAGTCTGTTTTTGTTATGACTTTAATGGCATTGCATCTATTGATTAAATAATGTTATGTCAGAACTTAAATGTTGCTTTGGCCATAGGGTATAAAACATATCAAAATTAATTTGCTGATTTGAAAGGCCAGCAGGTTATGGCTTGCAATTATGAAAATGATCAGGGGTGCCCAAACTTTTGCATGAGACTATTTAATGCAGATATTGCCATTTTTCAAACCTTTTGACCAAAAATATTTTTTCCTATATTTTTTTCTCATATAAGTCCCTCAAAATTAAACATTTCAGGTATTAATAAAAACACATTTGCAGTTTTTTTTGTTTTTTTTTTTTTTGTCGATTAATGTCCACATGAAGTGCAGATATTTTTTAAATTAAAATTATTTTAAATGTATACTTTTTAATGATAATTTATTGTTTTAGGAAATCCCGGTGTCATATAATGTTTATGATGTCAAAAAATATTTAATATTTCTAAAAGTAATTCCTAGACAGATTACACTACTTGAAGTTTGCAATCTAACACATTACTTACAACAATTTACTACAATCAGTCACAGGCTACATTTTTTCTGAGCCCAGTTCTTCTGTTTATAAGCTATCCACACAAATAATAAAATTTAATTTATGATTCAGCGAATCCAAGAAATACGAGCTTTAATAGAAACTGATTTATGGCATATGGTAATGCATGACTTATGCTAATAGATGAACTCGAGAACATGCATATTAAATGCAAAATCCATCATCCTTAATTCGACATAATCTAAAAATTAGTCGTCTTTGATCTATAGATTCAAAAATTATATTGTGGAGACAGTATTAACCAGTGAGAAGTACAAGAGAAAAAGTGAACAAATATAAACTGGCAGTAGAGTATATAAATAAGACGAGAGTTATTAATATAGAGGGATGAGAGTTATTTCCGTTCCAGACAACAACTGTCAGACACACAATATCAACTATTTTCTGATTACCAACTGATATATGATACTTGGCTCATCATAAGAGCAGCCATCAAGCATGACAGAAACACAAAAACAATAAATAAACTCATTTATTTAGGATCATCTACAGCATGGCCATTGGTCTTTCTTTTGTGCACTTTCAGAAGCAGGTCAGAATACAATATTGAATTTATTGACTTTTTAGACTCCTTGTCTTGGGTTTCTTTGTTCTTTTTATGGCTTGTAGTTTTACAGAAAGGGCACATACCTGGGTGTACTGATGGTCTGGGTAGAGGTACAGTAAAATGATGTGATTTCTACATATAGCTTGCATACTTCAGTTCTTGCAATCCTCAAATTGGTGGAGCTGATTCTGAAAAATATATTTACATTTAATCTTTTGGCAGACTGAAAATTAGGCCAATAAATGTAATACAATTTAGAAATGACTAACAATAGTAATTGTTACAAGAAGTCACAGTAAGTCTAACACAGTACACAGAGTACAACGATAAAAAGTAAAAAAAAAAAAAATAGAATATAAGTGTAAGTTTGGATGCTTTTCTTTTTAAATAAAAAAAGTAGATCAAATCTGGTCAGTTAGAATATAGAACAGAATGCGTGTATGTATGTTAGAAAAATATAAGATGTACAGTATATATGTATAGAAAGTTTAGACAGACAGACAGACAGACAGACAGACAGACAGACAGACAGACAGACAGACAGACAGACAGACAGATAGACAGATAGATAGATAGATAGATAGATAGATAGATAGATAGATAGATAGATAGATAGATAGATAGATAGATAGATAGATAGATAGATAGATAGATAGATAGATAGATAGATAGATAGATAGATAGATAGATAGATATTATCACGAAAAACTGTGCAATTGTTTTTAGTTTTCTTTCCCTGATTTTATTAAGATGGATTGCTGGTGATTGGATGGATGTCGGCCCAATTGGGTAGCATTACTTGGACAGAGGAAAATTAAGACCTGTTTAATATTATTTAAGACATACAACACAATATTTCAGTGAGTTTAAGATTTTTCTAAGGCCTAAAATTTTGTTTTTGAAATTTAAGACATTTTAAGAACTTTTTAAAGACCCCGTGGACACCCTGTAGATGAAGTGGTTACGAATTATTAGAAATTAAAAAACAAAGTTAATTTGTCTTTCTAGTCTGTAAAATTTCGTTTTATTAAGTAGAAAATAGAAAATAAATATTTTAAATTAATGTAATGTGATGCTATGATTTACATGTTTCCGATTGGCTACTTCTACTTCATACTTAATGAGGGGGAGGGGCTTGCTGCTCAAACAATACACAGACTCTGACGTGAAGCAGCAGCAGCTCCGTGTTTCCTGTGTTTTTATTAACATTATTGTCCCTCATCAGGTATGAAATATTGAAATCGTTATCAAAATGTGTTGAATATACGTTAGAGATGTGAAAGCAACAAGTGTCATCTATTAAATTAACCTGATAGTGTATATTAATATATAAAAGAGTTCGTATTAACTGTATATATATACGCTCTGCACTGTAATTCCAACGGTAACATGATGATATGATGATTTAAATGCCAACTGTAGTAACGGTCAAGTGAATGTATATTATATGTATCAACATAACAACTAACAAAGGGAATATTGTTACAAAAGTAATTATAAAGTCACAAAGTGCTATTATTTCCCATAGTTGGTTACAATGTATATATAAAGAGAGATATATGTGTAGGTCGGTTATATGCCTTTGTGTGTGTTATAGAATAATTAAACTGTGAATAGTTTATTTAGGAAGAATCACATAATTACTTTATAGTAATTTATAGCAGTAATGTGCAGGGAATATGTATGTGATTATTTTGTGATATGTGTATATAATATCTGTGAAGATGTTTACATATGTTGTTCTACAATGTGAAAGTATACTTTTAAGTGCATTCATTTAAAAAAAAAACAATACACAGACTCTGACGTGAAGCAGCAGCAGCTCCGTGTTTCCTGTGATTTTATTAACATTATTGTCCCTCATCAGGCGGTGAGGGCGCTACATAGACAGAAAGATAGATCATCACTTTTAATGGTTTTGCTGTTTGTAAATAAATTATTAATTTTTTAACTTTTAAAACGTTAAAACGTAAGATTCTCATGACCAATGTTTCTCCTGTTGCATTATATTTATAATTGCATTTAGTCTAGTTTAATCAATTAAAGCTAGACAACATCACAATGAATGCCTTGTAATGAAACAAGCAATCAAGCAGTTAGAATATATTACACTAAGCATGACAATATATTAAACATCAATAAACCTTATGAGTCCATTGAACTTATATTATGTTAAACAGACCTAAAACAGCTTGAGTAACTTATAAAATTAAGTTTAAAATTGATTAACTTAGTTTAATAAGTAACAATGAACTAAAACATATACTATCATTATAATTGTTCATATAATTTTTACAGTGTATGAAATGGCCTTAGACAACTGTTTTACCTTATTTAGAAGGGTCATGAATATTCTGCTCTGAGGCTCATGTGGCTCACATCAGTCACTCACACAGCAGTATGTACTCTGAAATACACGTGCAAAATAATCACTTCAGTCGCAAAAAAAGAATTTGACATATTCAGATATCTTGTCAAATAACAACTGTTTCAAGTTGTGTTATGTGTTGTGGGGATTGGTTTAGGTTTTTATTTTGTGGATTTAATGTAAATGAAACAAAGACAGAAATCAATGACAAACTCTACGTAAACAGATCGTCATTTTACTGTCTCATCACCCCATTAGAATGATGACAAGAAGCTTTGTTTTATCGAGTTTATTGATATTATTTAAGGGCTGAATAAGACACAATGTTTGTTCATTAAAGACTTACAGGCATACAGCCAGTTTCACGACATAATATAAATAGTTTAATAAGAGTTAAACACACCTTATGCATCCTCAGGATGCCGCTGAACAAACAGACATCCACCTTTTCCAAGCATTCTTCGACGAGCTGTGTCCGGTTTTCAAAATAAGAGTCCCACCATGAAGAAACATGTTCAGCATTGTTGTCATTTTACTAGGAAACGTTGTAGCCACTCAAACGCTGCTTATTATGATCCAGATACTAGGGGTGTTGTGCAACAGTGAGTTTTTTCATATATTTTTTCTGTGGTCTGTTGTTTAAACAAGATTTAAATAAAGAGAAGGAACCTTGTTGTTTGAGGCTCAAGGTTTATCATTTCTATGCAGCCTACGGAACACTTAGTATTCATTCCTTCATTTTCAGCTTAGTCCCTTTATTAATCAGGAGTCGTCAAAGTGGAATGAACCAACAACTTATTTAGCATATGTTTTACACAGCGGATGTCCTTCCAGCCACAAGCCCAGCATTGGGAAACATCCATACATCTTGCATTCACACCAGAATATTCAATTCACCTATAGCCTAGTGCATGTCTTTGGACTGTCAGGAAAACCGGAGCTGAACTCAACCAAGATTTAAATTATATTTTTATTTTTAACATGAGATTTACTTCACTTGTTTACAGGTTTTAATTTTGATCAAATATATGGTAAAGGAGCAATTAAGAACATTTGCAACAGCAGCTTTATAATACTCACTTTAATGACCAAACATATTTTGTAAGAAAAACATTTAACTTATGAATATATGTTGATTCTTGGGCATCAAATGACTTCATATGACTTGTGCTTGTGCTTTTGTATTTCATTTTTTTTTTTAAATATACTCCCACTGATATCTGTGTACTCTTTAAAGTGAAACCCAGTCAAGTGTAAAAACAGCATAATTGCTTTACACCAGCACTGGATCACGTCAGCACCACTGCCATTCAACAAACATTGCCTGACATCCAACTATATGTGGTGCTTGAGGGCTCTCAGCCATTACTAGCACCGTCAGTGCGGCAAAACGACAATGCTCCACAAAAGCCGCCCGCAGTGACAGCTCTGCAGTCACAATCCCCAAGTTCACTACATTTAAATGCATGAAATCCCTGCTCTGCATCTCACTGAAGCGTTTTGGCAGATCTTCAGAGACGTGTGGGACAGTCTTCCCACTCTGAGGAACCATAATGATGAGTCTGTGCGGAGACCTCAATTATTCATTTGTGGAATGTGAAAAAGTGAAGCAATAGCAGCTCTTTAAAAGAAAAAGAGAAGAAACAGATTGAAGAAGAACATTTGCAGTACCTGTAGGGCAGGACTGTCTTTCACACAGTGTCACAGTTTAAACACACAAAAAGGGGGAACAAAACAAAAACAGAATAAATATTCTGTGTATTCAGAGCATATATAGCTTCTGAGCTATTGTTCCCGGTTTATCAACAAAATGTTGCATATCAATTGGGTAGGCTAAATTGTTCGTAGTGTATGAGTGTGTGTGTGGATGTTTCCCAGAGATGAGTTGCGGCTGGAAGGGCGTCCGCTGCGTTAAAACTTGCTGGATAAGTTGGTGGTTCATTCCGCTGTGGCGACCTCGGATTAATAAAGGGACTAAGCCGACAAGAAAATGAATGAATGAATTTTGCATATCAGTTTATGTACATATTTTCAAACAATGCCACTTATGTTTACCATAAGGTTACTTTTTTCTGATATTTCAGTATGATAAACAGTTAATTTACAGTCAAATCTATGGTTTAGTTTGCGTGCCAAGAAGCATTTTTGGCTTCTTGACTAAAACACAACACTCCATCAAATTCATATATCTTTTAAAACACTCCAAGTCTTTCTCTTTGTTTACCCCATTGTCTGTGAATTTTGGAAAATCTTTTTAATTTAGCTTGCATTTCTGATTAAAGGACCATTTATTTGCTCATGTAACACGCCAACCATAAACACCCTCTGGGTCCGTCTTCTGCAGCAGCCATGCTTTATTTTTCATGATTGCATTAGCCATGCTTTATTTATCATTATTGTTCTTGGCTTGAACTGTTCTTTATTCAGATAGCCATCTAATTTTACTCAGCAAGACTTATTATTGACAGTTATTGACAACATTTAACTACATTCCACTGTTTGTGAATTCATGAAAAATCCAAAGAGAGTCCAAAGTATGAGAAAGCTTTGTGTTTTGAATTTTGTTTGGGCATATAGAAAAAAACAAGAATTGAAACCAAGCTTGTCTAGCTTAAAAGACGCATTTGTGTACTTTCTTAAAGAAAGTTTCACATGTGAATTCAGCCCTGAAATATCATTTTTATTTGGTTGTTTTCTCACTTATCAAGTTTAAAAAAAAAACTGAAATTAATAAATTAAATTGTTATTTTCTTCATTTTTTTACACTTATAGACACTTCAAAAAACAGAATTTCCATTATACACATTGCCAAAAAAGTACTCAACTCCACATTCTCAATTATTGCTAAAAACACGTATTTACAATGAGCTCACACAACACAAATCTTAAGATATCTTGGCCCAACTTAATTGTTTTATGTGAAATCCACTTAAATTTGTCAAAACCAATTAACCTAATTGGTTTGTGCTAGGACAACGTGAATAAATTGTGTGCAACCCTGGATTTTTTACAGTGCAACTACAGCTTCACACATTGAATGACATACTGTGTATATATATATATGTTTAATGAGAATTATGATATACATAATACATAACCTGACCATCTACAACCAAAATATTTCATAGTTAATGAGGTGCAGCATGATTTATTTACCTATTAAATCTCTGATACTGCAAGCTCAGCAAAACAACAGAAGGCAAAGCTGGAGAGATTTACAAAAACACTTTAGTGTATAGATCTCTCAGTGCATTTAAAAATGGCTATAGTATAACAACAAATCTGAAGAGGGTTTATAACTATTAATTAGAGCTCCACCAGAGGACTGCTGAATCTGCAGGAAGTGAAAGACATGTTTAAAGATTGCTACTGTGTTTGTTTTGTGAAAGTCAGTGTGTCAAATAGTTTTTGACACAAAGTACACTGTAAAAAAAAGTTGACAACTTAAAATTTTAAGGTAACCACACTGTAAAATCAAAAAAGTTAAGGTAACTCAAACCATTTAAGGAACCGATAGTTCAAAAACTAATATTAATGAGTACTGTGAACTTAATCCATTTAAGTTGAAATAATGAGCTCTTTAATTATCTCATTAGCTTCAACTGAGTTCAAAAGTCTTTTCAAATGAGTAGAATTAACTTTCATTCAATTTAACTACACTCATGTCATTTAATTAAGTTGACTGTTGGGTTTTATAGTGCAGCTTCAGAACATATTTGAGTTTGCTGAACTTAAATCGAGTCCAGAGCAGTACATGGGTTGAAAGTTGACTCAAAAAGCTCAAAAAAGCTCTGCAGCAAGTTGCCTTAAAATTTTGAGTTGAGTCAACTTTTTTTGTGTAGTTTTCTTTTCTTTTTTCACTTTGAGTGTATACATGTCTTTACAGTTCAATAAGTGATGTTTAATGAACAAGTTTCAGGAGAAGCATGATCAGTTTTGATGAGGCTAATTCTTTATTGACAATCATTCTATTATCCAATCAGCTTAAGACCAAACCCCTATATAAATAGTAAAACACGTCATACCTCTCTTTTCTCTTGACTTCAGCATCCCTCAACCACCCCAAATCTACACTATTAAACTCAATACCTAAATCTAAGGGGGCGTTCTAGAGCCTGGCTATACACTGTGCTTGGACCCCTATCTCCCTCTCTGTCCTCAAACGCTGAATAATACAAGTTAGGGTGTCTTTCCAAGAGACCTCTCCCTGGACAGCACGTCAAATACATATTCTATTCAATCAAGTAACTCGTAAAAACAGGTATGAATGACTTGTTTAACCTACGGGAAGCTATAACAAAATCAAGCAGGGTATACCTTTATATCTATAATTTTGTCAGCTGTAGCAGTGAACCGCAACATGAATTTGCAGGAAGATTCAGTGAAACTCAATAAAAGTAAAACATAACTGCTTGAATCTGAATACAACATAAATTTAACCTCCCCCCCCCCCCCCCACCCCCACCCCCTCTGCAGCTGAACAAGTTTACTTTTGCAGCAATTTTCCAAAGCTGGGGTGAAAAATAACTACTGCTAAAACAGAAGTATATGACTCTTAAAAAGAGAAATGCTTACACAAAGATTGACTTTTCATGCTTTATTTAAAAGCACCTAGCAAAACAGAAATGCATTTTTTAGTAATTCTAAAACTCAAGCCAACTATAATACAAAAACACTGAACAAAATGTGACAGGTCACTGAAGCAGATAAGCCCTTCCTCATCTAAAACATGCACATTTTGTGGAAGTGCACACAGGTGAGCAGACACATTCATCAGTCACCAGGCTCGCTGTGCCTCTCGAGACCATCTGAACGTTTGTATCTTCGCTGCAAAAAAACTAAGCATAAATAATGGTGTAAAACCTGGCACCGCAAAGACCCCTGTGGGAATTAGGGGTGTTGTTTGTGCTCCAGAGACGTTTCCTGCAGAGATAATCGCATTCCCTGTTATCCTGAGCCAGCCCCCTGAGCTGAGGTTAGGTTTCTGAACTGTGCAGGTGAGCCTTCTAATGTTTTGTTCAATATTCATCAAAAAAACATGAAGCGTACCCCTAAACAGTGTTACCCTCTATCACACGTACAAAACATCTTCTAAAAAAGATTTAACTGTAAGTAATTCTGTAAGGTTCTAAAGTAGTCTGTGGCTAAACATTTAGTTCACTTTTTTCATTCTATTGGCTATTTCTTAAAGGTGTCTGCAAAAAATCCATACAGGAGAGAATCTATTTTCTGTCAAACACTGTGCACTTGACACTTTTTTTTCTGCTGAGTTGGAAAATATTAAGCTTTGTGTTAAAAATGCAGCACTCATCACTGTTGGTTTATTTACCCAGCCATCCAACTGCTGTAGAGAGGTAAAGACCACCAACCAACTGAATAGAAAATGTGGGTCTGTTTACTCTAGTTTATGTAGTTGAAAAGTTAGATTGTTCATTCAATATTTCAAGGGGATCATCAAAATTAAGTAATAACTGCAAGAGACCGTTCAAATTAAACATTTGAAATGTGAAGTTAAGGGAACAAGCTTTAACATGTGAATGTTAGTAAAATGAATGTGAGGTAATTAATACGTTGACAAAATAAAAAAACTTTAAGATATCCTGAAGGTAAGAATCCTTTCTCTTCTATTTTCTCTGCTATCTGAAAGGCTTGAATCTGTTCCCACACCTTCCCATTTAGCTTTTATTTTAAATTGTCAGAATCTTTGTATTAGAAGCACTTCTTTATGATTATTGTCTTTTGACTATTGTTGTGTTTTGAGCATAACATGCATTAAACTAAT